GGGGGAGGGGGGCTTTGTCTATCTCTCTCTCTCCCTCTCCCGCCGCGAGTGACAGAGGACAGGATGCCGTGGCGTGCTTGAGAAGAAGCGGGGGGTAGCAGTGACTGTAGTTCTCTCTCGCCTCTCCCGTGTGACGCATTGTGACTCTCTCCCGCCCTCCTCTAGTAGGTGCCAGCGGGGTATAAAAACGCCCTCCTCATCCGTCCTCATCTATCTGCAGCAGTGCGTGGCTGCTGCTGCTGCTGCTGTGACGGACCACATCGTCAGAGCACACAGGAAAAGTGCCGTAAAACTAAGGGAAACATCCGTTCTGTTTCTTTTTTTCATGTTTTTTTTTCTTTGACTATGGAACATGCGGGTGAGCGATGTGATACGAGACCGTTGTGGCCCGTCACCGATGAAAAGCTCCCCCCCCCTTTTTCTGGCCATCGGTCATGCGCATGGGTGGCTTGCGGGCGGGGCGCGGCCGGCCCGGCGGCCGCTGCTCACATTCTCGCGCTGCGTCTTCGGCATGGTTCTCTTCTATTTCTGACGTTGAACATTATGTCACGTAGCACTTCACGCAGGCGGTCTGTGAATAGAAACCGATAGAAACCTTGCGAACGATTGTATGGCTGTTTTTGTAAATGTCAAGCCAACATACTGCGATCGAATAACCTCGCGCCATTAACTTAGAAATTTCCTTCGATAGCCTTCACAAAATGCAGCCAAAATCTTCGCAAGGTTATATGAGGAAGTTAGGTGAGGGGTATTACCGCCGCCGCCGCCGTCCTGTCCTACCCGTCGCCGTGGCTCCCGGTGGGCTATACAACACTGTAAAAAAACGGGCGTAATTTTATCCATAGCACTTGGATTGGAATGTTCCCTCAGTCCCCTCTGTGTCCTTGTAGCCTGCCAGGCCTCTAGTCTTTGATACCACGCTTTAGTACTACCCCGTTGGTACCACCCCTGAGCAGAGCACTACCCCATGGTACCACCCCACCCCATGGTACCACCCTATGG